AAGCACATGATTGTGTCTGCGTTTCTGTTCGGAAGGTGTTGCCACCCACTTTGTTGGTTGGTGAATTTGATTTTGTGCCTAAGAACATTAAAACCTTTTAAAAATTGATTCACCTACATAAATTTACTATGATTTCACATCTTTGAAACATCCATGTTTTCTTTGTTACAGCTGTGGTCCAGCAAGACCCACCGTTTGCTCCTGAGATGAGCCCCTCCAGCCCACTTTTATCACCTCAGAACTCCACCTCCCAGAGTCCTCTACTTCAGCAAAACTCATCTACTGGCTACCAGTCACCCGACATGAAAGGCTGGCAACCAACAAGCGTGGGCAGGTTAGGAGCACGCATACGGTTTATAAGAAACAAAGACATTTGCAAACATTATTAATAAATTAAATCTGTGAGGCCGGGTTTAACTCATCTCTGACTGTTTTCTGTGCTGCAGCCTGTTCAGTCAGTCTGGACAGAGCGCAGGGCAGGCGTTTGGCCAGCAGGGGGTTTATAACAACATGAGCATCACCGTTTCCATGGCCGGGGGCTCGAGTGGCGTCAGCTCATTACCTCCCATTGGGCAGTCAGTTGGCATGAGCAACAGTAACCTCAGCAACGTTGGTTCAGTGTGCAGCGACCAGCAGGTCAGTGACTTTGAACCTGCCAGCCTGGACAGCTGTGATAGTTTCATGTCCCACTGACCACCTTTCACTGCCTGGTGACTTTGTTTTTACTTTCCTTAGTGTTCCCTCTTTTTCTTAAACATGCTTTCACCCTCTGTGTTCTCGTGTTTAGCCTCAGTTGTCTTTTATTTCCTGTTTTACTTTGCATCGGGATATACACCCCAGTTGCATTTGCTTTGTCATAGTTTCAGTTTGTGGCTTTATTTTAGAGTATGCTCATAGGATGCAGAGTTCTCCTTCCAGTTCTCCATTTACGCCCAAGTTAAATTGCTTTTTTTTTTTGGATTGCATCGTGTGCTTCTGAAAATGTTTAGTGAGGTTAAAAAGGTTCAGCAAATGCACCGTTTCTTTCTTGTTCTTATCAGGTTAATTGTGCAGGCTCCAGCCTTTACAGAGGCTTCCTTGTTGCTAAGTTACAAACCACCTCTTTATTTTTTTAATAATTACAAAAAAACACCTTGTAGCCTCAACAAATGGCATAATAAACAATGCAAAGTAGTGAATAAGCAACAAAACAGCCCTTGCATCAAACATTGCTGTTCAAATCTGTCAAAATGATTGACAGCTTTTAGACTTTTCCCGACGCTGTCAGTGATGGTTCTCGCGACCTCCTTCCCTCTGTAAGCATTGCCTCGCGCTTTATTCCCGTGTTTCTGCAGGTGCAGCAGGTCCAGGTATTTGCGGACGTCCAGTGCACAGTGAACCTTGTTGGCAGTGATTCCTACCTGAACCAGGGCTCCATCGGAGCTGCGGCCTCCCAGAAGGGCCCCGGACCCCAGGGCTCCCAGAACAACCAAGCCCAGCAGAAGAGCCTCCTCCAGCAGCTGCTCACTGAGTGACACCCCCCACCTCTTCAGCTCTCCTACTCTATCTACTTCTCACTTCTACACCTCCTCCTTGGAGGGTCGGTGCACCAGACCCATTGCTGTCTCTGTCTCACCTTTTGGATGGATCGATGTACGGACGGATGGATGTTTGGACGGCCACAGAGTAGGCTCAGAGAGGTCTGGCTGTC